GGCTTTTCTGAAAGCCAAGGTAAGAGGCAAGTTTGTATCTCTTCTAGCCTCCCTAGAAGAAATGAGCCAGACGACATGGAACTGTATCCAGCCTCACCAAGAAATCCTAACATAACTATTAACTAAACTGCTGTATTGGCTACCTCTATATCTGGCCCCTGTTAGTTCTACCTTAAATCCCCAAATGCAGTGAAGATGACAGATAGTTCATTCCAGGCAGGTCACCCCCAGGCCCCGGAATTCTGAGTCTAGATGAATTTGTAGTTTGGCTCAGAAGTTCCTCTTCAGGAAGGACTCTAAAATCTGAAGCACATTTTGATCAAAGCCTTTTCCCCTCCAGCATGGCTAATGAAAATGAAAGTCTCCTTGAGTAGAGCTGACTCCCTCTTAGAGCAGTATTTGAGGACCAGTGCTTAGGAGGATGAAGCAGCCACAGTGCCTGTCTCCATAGCTTCACCCTGGTGATGCTGCCATGAGTGAGCATTGCATCCAGGACTCTTCTCCCCAGATGCTGGGCTGATTCCACTCAACGGGTATTATAGGAATTGGAAAGAACCCTTGACAGATGGTCAGAAGGCCTGGCTCTATGATTTTAAAGCTTGCTTGACTATAGGCAAATGACTTAGCCTTTTTCAGCCTCAGTGTTACATTGTCTGATGGGACCGCCACGTCCACCCTGCCTCTACCACAGGGGTCACTGTGAGGGTCAAATGCGATAATGTATGTGAAAGTGGTCTGTAAACAGCGCTATATCAGAAAAATAATACAAACTTTATTCTTACTACCCTCAGGCAGTGCTAAAGCTCAGGCTGCTTCTTAAAGCAGCTCCACGCTATCCTTGCTTGTCTCTGTTGTTAAAAGCCCCTTACTTGGAGTTTCACGGAGCGGCTTCCCAGGCGAAGAGAGGAAGGATACTGGCGGGAAAAAACTAGGCACTTTTTTCTTTAAGTGCCTGGCCCCTATTTTGGTGAATCTGGATCTGTACATCTTATAAATCAATTTCAAACCCCTGTAAGATTGTGGCAGCATTTAAATCTGATGTTGGAAGGATATATAACGTAGATTCTTGCCCATCCCACTTTGGGTCTAAAGGCGGAGGTAGGTGTTGACCAGCCAGGCTGAAGATTTGAATGCTTTAAAAAGTGATTTATTTTTGCCAGTTCCCCAATGGTCTCTTTTCTTTCTATTCATGATCTAAGTTTTGCTCAGAATGACATCAAGGGAATGAGAAAACTACCTGTAATTCTTGTTCTCAGATCTGAGATTGTCACAACAGGATCTCTATTCTAGGACTGGGAACAACTGGAACAGCCTTCTGGGGCGTGTTCCTAGCCCTCCTTTCTCTCTGCCTCACACCGTTCTCCTACCCCTGGGCACTGGCGAGCCAGTCACCACCATCGTAGCCAGATCGCTGGGGGGGTTCGCTACTGCCAGCCCCAAGGGAGAACGAGCGACCTCACCAGGACATTTGAAGAAAAAATTTCGAAGCCTGAGGAAGCCTCACGACCAAGTGTTTTGGGGCACATGATGAGGTATGATCTAGTGTAAGATTTCACAAATACAGGTGATCACAGGACTCTCCTGAAATACGTGTTAAAAGTACAAATCCGGGCTTCCCTGGTGGCGCAGTGGTTGAGAGTCCGCCTGCTGATGCAGGGGTCACGGGTTCGTGCCCTGGTCCGGGAAGATCCCACATGCCGCGGAGCGGCTAGGCCCGTGAGCCACGGCCGCTGAGACTGCGCGTCCGGAGCCTGTGCTCCGCAACGGGAGAGGCCACAGCAGTGGGAGGCCCGCGTACCGCAAAAAAAAAAAAAAAAGTACAAATCCTAGCCCCAGACCCAACCCCGTCAATCTCCCAGGCAGGGCCCAACAATACATTTTCAACAGCAATCAAGTAATTCATATGGTTAGGCAATCTGGGGAAACACTGATCCAACAGAAAAGACCCAATTAGGGTTTTGACTTCACTAATGGCAGCGATGGCTTATTTCTCCATCTATAAAGAAAAGAGGGGGTGAGTAACAACACTATCTGTGACCTTAGCCTCTCTCAAAGGCTGCCTAAGGTCTCATCAGATTACCTATAGGAAGTCTTTCAGACTACTTAGAAATATTTACAGATGTGGCTAGGTCTTTTCAGCGTGGAGAGCTGTGGGCTAGAGTGGCAGCCACTTCTCATGCCCAGTTGGCACAGTCCCGTGCCAGGTGCAGAGAATGCAGATGAGGCCGATCATCTCTGCAAGACATTCTCTGCATTAGTGGAGGTGGACAGCAACACTCATGGCTGCAGAACTGAACCCCTGGAGAGCTCCCCCATGAGCACTAGGTCCAACGAATGTCCCCAGCTTCCTCATAAGTCTCTGCATGGCCTAGAGAAGTTCATCTACCTGCCACCTGCATCCATGCCCCCTCATCCAACACGTCCCTGACTCAGCTGTGACTCACAGGCAAACACTCTCATGCGTCATCCCACTGGGGCCTCTGCTTTTCAACCCTCCCCACCCTAACTCACCTCTTTCAGCTCAGACCTTTTAATATTGGCTTTTCAGATCACTGAGCAGATCTTTAAATAGTATGGATGGACAAACACACACAACACCAATATCAAAATATACCCATTTAAATTAAAAACCTTTAATTCTCTGGGTTTGTTGTAATTTATCCATAGCAATATTTCATATTATATGCATAAAATCTCCCAGTTCTTTCTTGGGCATGTCTTATTCCCCCTATTCAATGGCAGGGTCCCCATGGACGGAGACCAAGTCTTATACAAGTCTTATCTTGTACCCCCAATAACACCTAGGAAGGAAGCTCACATGTATAAGCACTTCCTATGCAGGACAGACTATTTAGGGGAGAATAAACAGAAGGATGTGTCGAGAAAAGCTGGGGTGCCGAGGATGGCCAGTTTGCCTTTACTTGTCCAGTCAACCGTATCTCCTGTCCACATACCCAGAAATGACTGTTTTCTCTCTCGACTGGAGGCCTGGAGGTCCGAGTGATTTATGCAGCCCTTCAGAGGACAACCTGGTCCCATCTCCCCAGGTTATTTCAGTAACCTGTTATCATCTTTGTATTTTTTATTGTCTGTCTGTAGTTCTGTTGTTTGGGGACTGCAGGTTTCCAATTTTAATAATTCTTTCCCATGGCTCCCTTCAATGTTCACCAAAATCATACATGCCCCTGACTAATAAAAGCAGTATTTTTGGTCTCTGCGGCTGGTGCTATGGGGCTCTTTGGTGGTGAATAGCCTGACACAGTGCTCAGTATAATGAGATAGTAGCTACCGCAGCTACCCAAGATTCTCTAAAATTGCCTGAGCAAGTTGAAATCCAAAGCTGGTGACTAAGAAATGATGTTTTAATCATCTTTTCCATCGGAATCGGGGCCCAAAAAGACAGACTAGAGCTAAAGCTTTCAGAGGCCAGGGACACCAGCAAGTCTAAAACTCAGCACCAGGGTTATGGCTTGTGTCTTCCAGCCCTTGGAAGTGCCAGCACTGGGCTGAACTGTTCTGGTTCCACTCACACAGGCCAAGGCCACTGTGAAGTCCTTTGGCAGGCCAGTTCTCCCCCAGGCAATGATAACAACTCATCCTTCTGACCCTCACCTAGCCACTTCTTTATTTCCTTGCACACATAGGACTGGTTTGGAAATGCCATGAATTAAATGGATACCAGAGGAATGGTACTCTGAGAAAAGGGCCTAGCTCCAGTCAGACAGCTCTGGAGAGACCAAGGAGATGCTGAAGAAGAAGCCTTTTTCAGAGGTTGTCCATGGATCCATAGATAGAGGATGGACCGCTGCCGGGAGCAGAGGGATAGCGCCAAGCATCATCGTCCTCCAGTGATTTGACCCAACCATGTATCCCACCATAAAAGTGTGGGATGAAAAGCTTTGACAAAGGTCTGTCAAAGAAAGTGGAGACTGAGAGATACCTAAGGTTAGTTGGAGTCAGGGTTTTAGGGCTAAACATTCAGACAAGAAGAAAAAGCCAGGTTTTCCTTGAAGAGAAATGAACATTTAAAGAGTGCACCAACTTCTCATGCCTTGAGTAGGAATCAGCAATTTGGGCTGGGCTCAGGTAGGCAGTTCTTCTGTTGGTCTTGGCTGGGCTTCCTCATGTGTTTTCAATCAGTTGAGAGTTGATAGGCTGCCAGTTAGGGTGATGGGGGTAACTGGGTCCCTTTCTCTCATCATGTGGCACGCTAGCCCAGGCTCATTCACCTGGTAGTGGCTGCAAGTTTCCCGAGAGCAGCAAGAGAGGACAAGCCCCATGCACAAGAACTTGTCAAGTCTCTGCTTGTGTCACATCTGTTATTGGGCCACTGGCCACATCAAATCACATGGACAGTCCCAGATTCAAGGGGTTGAGAAACACACTGCACCTCTTGATGAGAAGGGAAGAGTGGCCATTTTTCACAATCTGTACAAATTACAAAATCCAGAGAGATCTAGCTTTGGGATTTAGGCAAAATCTATCATTTAGGCAAGGGTGGGAGTAGGAAGTGTTCCTTCCTGAGAAAGGAAGGATAATATCTCTCATCTCCCAAGAGCATCTAGAGTGGCAGCCTGGTGAGGCCCAGGGATGCCTGTCCCACACTCAGGTATCCTGGAATGACGAAGCTGGGATGGCAGGAACAACTCATGGTAAACAAAGAATAAAACACACAGAAGATCCAGGGGGAGTCTGTGGGGGAAATGGCCCATATTCAAATTATAATGAGACAATATATTCTTTTCTTCTTAGATTCCTTCTCATTCTTCTCTATTTTGCATTACTGTCTTCTCCTCTTTTTCTCCCTCTTCTCTTTCACGTGTATACTTTATTTTTTTATTTTTTATTATTTTTTTGGTGGTACGCAGGCCTCTCACTGTTGTGGCCTCTTCCGTTGTGGAGCACAGGCTCCGGACGCGTAGGCTCAGCGGCCATGGCTCACGGGCCCAGCCGCTCCACGGCATGTGGGATCTTCCCGGACCGGGGCAGGAACCCGTGTCCCCTTCATCGGCAGGCGGACTCTCAACCACTGAGCCACCAGGGAAGCCCTCATGTGTATATTTTAATCATTTATCAAAAGGCACCTGATGACAACCTAATCAGAGTGCAGAGGGAGGCAGGGCTCTGTGTGTGGCACCAAAACCTGTGGAGAGTCCAGGAGAGGAGAGGACAGGCAGAGCCCTTGATGTCCAAGACTCAGACGTTGCTGTGCCAAAAGAGAAAAAGCAGTTTATGTTCTCAGGATGGAAGAAGAAGTACCACTTCGACAGCTCTTGCTTTGTTCCAGCCACTCAAGAACTGTCATTCAGAAGAGTACACTGAAGCCATTTCTGTGATTGTCCCACAGGTCACTGTCACTGGGTTCACCACGGGCCTGATTTCAGTGTAACAACAGTCATTGACTAGTGACTGGGAGGTAATGGGGCTAAAAGGTATATTTTGTCTGAAGCTATCTTCCGCTGTCAGTGAATTCCTTCTAATAGTAGTAATCAATTCTGTCTCTAAGCACAGCACAGGAGGTATAGAAAAGCAGACTGTAGGCATAGGCATTATCTGGAAGTTAGCAGTCCAGAGCTAACTCCCTTTTAGAATTAGAAAAGGAATCCTGGTTTGGCTAAGGAAGGAGATTGGGCAGGATGAACTCTGTGGGTGAGAAACTCCATGTGTGGGAATGTGCTCACACGTAGTTGTTTTCTTGATAAGTTTCTCAGACTAGTTAGATGGGCACTGAGGTTTGCAATCAGCCTCCCTGAAAGGCTGCCCCCCATCCCCTGCCAAAGCAAAGATCAGCAAATCTTCCAAGGTGGTGGCCAGAGAAGGTCCCGGGCCTGCTGCTTCTTGGATTTGTGTCTTGTTCCCGTTTTCTGCTTCTGATTTCTAGTCATCCAGAGAGTTGTCTTGAAAACAAACATCAGACCACAAGGGACATCCTGGTTGGAAAGTCACTCTGGGGGAAGAGCAGGAAGAACCTGATTAAAGAAACCCAACCCAACACAACAGATGGTTCCCTGGGCAGAGTCCACACCTGTTCAGAGCCTGGCACACCCTGACTTTTAGGGCATTTCATTAGGCTTGTGACTGCTGTCCCTGAGCCTTAACTGGTGCTGAAGCCAACATACATCTCATGAAACTTAGTCCCACGGCCACAGAATAACTTCTCACCCCTTTAAGGATAACTGCAATGTTTACTGTTCCACAACAGGGACTGCAGATGGTATACCATAAACCTGATATCACCTGAAAGTTCCTTCCCTACTCACAGTACTTTGGTCATCACAGTTTTTGTTTTGGAGGGGTTAATAATCATGCCAGAACCTTTTTCTGTTCATGTTCTCTCCCCACACTACACACTAAAGAAAATGTGCAGCTTGGAATCATGAAAAACAAAATGGCGGGAGAGGCGGGGTAACTGAGGAGGGGGCAGAAGCATCCAGGCTTGGACAGTGGCCTCTGGAGTACAAAGGCACCTTGGGAACCCACATCTGTGATTGTCCCCCAACAACCTCTGAGGTCACATTTGGGGGCTGAGGGATGGAACGAGCTGCTCTTGGTGTTTAGAAAGAAAACAAAGTCTAAATAAGGCCACTTACAGAAGAGACAATTAGCTGGGCAGGGACTGAAAGACTTCCTTCACATATACTGGGCATAGGGTAGTTTACACTCAATAAAACATCAAAGGAAAAAAAGTGAGCTGTCCTTCATGAACACTGATGGCTACTAACCTCGGGAATGTGGACTCTTTGGGGCATTTGATGCAAGTTACAAACCCTCACCCTAAAAGGGATAAGGGATGGAGAGGAAGGCACATATAAGCATGCACAGAGCATAGATAGTCTGCACGCAGACCTCAGAAGCCCACCTAAAGGCCTGTGGTAGTAATGACCCCTCGAAACCCTGATGTTAAATGCTTCTTAAAGCTCGTCATTAATGCTCTCGAATACTCTACACCTACGCACCTGCTACTTCTGCCTTTTTTCAATGCTCCAGGGGCCAACACTCACTTACTTCACCTGGTCCTGGATAAAGGGAAGTGGGGGAGAAACCAGCCGGACACCTGCGTTCCCCAAGCAGGAGGCCTCGCTCCCTCCACCTGGGCCCCACTCGGCGTCTGGGGCAGGGCCCTCCTTCTCAGCTCTCCCTCCTCCCCAGCCCCGCGGCTCCTGGACAGCGATAGTGCACGCTGGCTCCCCGCCCAGACCCCGTGGAGGCTGCCTGGGCCTCACCGTCTTCTTGGCGGGTTCCTTCTTCCTCCTCTTCTCCGAGTTGCTGTGGTAGGGCAGGTCACGGCCGCGGTAGGACGGGCCCCGGCTGAGCTCGCGCTCGCTGTAGGGAGGCAGCGCGTCGTCGGGCGCGTCCTCCTCTTCGCCCTGCGGCGTTCCCTCCTTGTAGGTGGACGGCGGCGACCAGGCGTAGTAGGAGGCGCTGCGCGGGCCGAGCTGCGCGCTCAGCTTGGACGGTGTCTCGAGGCTGCCGCCGCGGCTGGCGCCCTCAGGCAGCGCCTGCCGCTCCACCCCGGCGCCCCGGAACGAGTGGTCGTACTTGGGGGCGGCGCCCGGCGTGCGGCTTACCAGGCGGGGCAGGTGTGCGTCGTCGGGCGGCCGCCGGCGCGGGGGGCTGTAGGACCAGCCGCGGTCCGCGTCGGTCAGGGGCTCCCGGCTGCGGCTCCGCTGTCCGTAGTACTCTTCCAGCGAGCCGTCCTGGTAGAAGCCCCCGTGCGCCCGCGCCTCTGAGCGCTCGAAGCGGCTCCCGCCCCGGGCCTCGTGGTTGTTGCCGTCCGCCCTGCGGGACCGCGGGCCGTAAGAGTCAGCGAAGGCCGCCAGCTCGTCCATGGAGACGGCCGGTATCCCGGTGGCGAAGTTCTTCCGCGACAGCATCTCGGATTTGGAGCGCTGCTGGCTGCGGGCAGAGGAGGCGCTGGTCAGTCCAGGTAAGCCGTGCGCGAGGCAGGGAGCTTGAGCGGGGATCTAAGGGCCCCTGTCGTGTCTGGGGCCTCTGTCAGGAGACCGAGGACCGAACCACGGCTCCGCTCCTGGCTGGATGAATCACCTCGGGCATCTCTCACGCCTCAGAATCAACAAACAACAAGCTCAAGGCGGCCATGCCCATCTCGAGTGTTAGTGTTAAGGATCAAGATGGGGTTGTGTGGATAAAAATACTTCGTGATCTACACGGTGCTGAAACACACGTTGGGCCTTCTTTCGGCCATTACGATGTGACCTCTAGTTGACAGCCTCCTGACTCACTCCTCACACCCTCAAAGCCAGCGTGGGTGATGTGGGCCTGAAGTACACACAGCAGTGGCCCACGGAGTCCCTGTAATATTTGGTGACAAACAGAGGCCTTTTCCTTCCTCAGAGCCGAGGGCAAGTTACCTCTTGGGGTGGCAGGCAAGAGGGAGCCTGCAGTTGGTACTTTGAGAGAAAAGCAATAGTATCTACTGCCCCTCCAGATACAGGTTAGGTGAGTGGAGAAGGTGCTGTCCGGTGGGCGCTGGCTACACAAAACTGGACAGACAACTTGGCCGCCCCACATTCATTGGCCATGTGACCCAGGGTAAGTTCCTTAGCATTTGTAAGTTTCAGTTTCCCCAACCTAAAATGGGGACATTAATAGTACCTCCCTTTTAGAATTAGGAGACTCAAATGCAACAGTACAACACGTTTGGCACTTGACCTTTCACAAAACAAATGATCAAAAATGATGGAGGTGATGGGTGGGTTTTTTTAGAGGTTATAGGATAAAACATGAGAAGAGCAGAGAAATGTTAACAAGGTTCATTAAGGGGTCTAGAGTACCCTCTTCAAAGAGCCTTGAGTGATTACTTCTGCTCATGGTGTCCCAAGTGTTCCCTTGCTTAATAAATGTGGGAAAGGGATGTTCAACAGCCCACAGAGAGACGTGGCAGAATAACCTAGAAGGGCAGACAGAGATGCTGCTGGATCACAGCAGCCTCACATGCACCCTGCCTCCCAGCTCCTGCCCCCTCACGCCCAGCACCAGCGCTGCCCTGCCACAGCCATCTTCACCTGTGCCTGAAGCTCTCCAGATCCTCTTTGTTATACTCCATGGCCGAGGGCCCCCGGCTTGTCCCGCTGCTGCCTCGCATGACACCTGACCAGTAGTCAGGATTGCTTTCCAAGTCCCCAGACACAGGGAACTGTTTGCTTCGCATCTGATGGTAAGACTGGCGGAAACTGCTGTCTTCCTCATGCAGGGAGCTGAGTTCCGAGATGGTGTTGTTATCTGCAGGGACAAAAACCAGGCATGACAGAGCTTCCCTCCCATAGAACAGAATGGGAACTCGGTTAACGGCTGAGACTAGAGGCTTTGGGAAACTCCCACCCGAGGGCCTCAATCCTGTCCAGGGTGGGTTGTAGACCTGAGCTAGTGGTATTTGTATTCTTAGCTCAGCAGGAACTGGCTCCAGCTGGAAGCCCACTTGCCTACAGAGAGGGAGGCTTCCTACATGCTCTGTTCTTGGAATAGGAAAACAATTGTTATTGTTCCACCTAAGGCAGGCTTCCCAGAACTTGGGCTCTCTACAGCTGGTCTCCTCCTAGTACATCAGCATCCTTGCTCAAATATTTTTCTTCTTGTTGTTTAATTCAGTGATGAGCCATGATGATCCCAGGCATGAGGCAAAAGGGGCAAAAAGAGAGAGAAGCCACAGACCACAGGATCTTCCCTACTGTTGGCTGAGTCCCAAGGTGGGGCCTTCAGAGTCAGTGCTACACCTCCGCTTTAGAGGCACCCCATTCCAGCTTCCTGCAGTTGTGCCCCTCCCCACAGAGCGAGGAGTCCACAGGGCCAAGGGGGTGTACACACCTAGTGGCCATCCACCCCCCCTCTGGATGTTCATCCAGGAACCTGGACTATCTTCTCCAAACAATACCAAGTCCATTTCCAGGGCCTGAGTAGACCTCTTCCACTCCCCAAAGAGTATGGGGCCATGGGTGGCCAGGACAGCTGTTTGGAGGTGCGGGAAGAAAAGGGGAAGGCTGGGCTGCACTTAGGGCTTCTGGGCCTCCGCTTATACTCTGGTCCTAGCCCAAAAATGTAAAGAGGGAGGGGATGGTCACAGCCTGCTCATTTCCTAGGGTGGCCTAAGTAGCTTTTCACAAAAGCACTTGTGAATAAGGACCAGAGTCACGGTCTGGAAAGAAAAAAAAAGAAAAAAGAAACTATTTATTTATAAAACTTTGAAATGGGTTGAATTTCACATTACTTAAAAAATAAATCTAGCGAATCTATTTGTAATGTAACTGAATCCATTCGTTTTCCAAAAATCCTTTGAACTTCAAACTGTTATCAAAATCAACATTTATAAGGTGTAGGGCCCGGCTGCTGAGCAAGAGGTAAACCGAGATCAGATGTGGGAAGCACAAATGTGTGTCTCAGTTTCCCCTCTACCTCGTCTCCTCCCTATATCCCCAATGGTCCTTAGAGGAGCAGAGAATTTTTGCTGGTTCCCACCCATGAAGGGAAGGGAGGGTCTCCCCCTGCAGCATAAACACAGCCTCCTTGTCCTGTTTTACCAGGACACAAGGCTGACCAGGAATGCCGTTCAGTTTGGTCATGTGATCAGCTGGTTTTGAATTATAATCTAATTATAAGCCTTTTCTGCCCCGTAAGGAGAATGGACTAGTCCGTGCCTATTTTAAAGGAAAACAACTCAGATCCTATTGATTAATCAAATCTAGAACTTTTCTTTTCTCATGATCCCAGCGAACTCCAATCTCCCGGGAACCATACAGAAGAGAGCTTTAAAATGCACCAAGTGTGCTTATTGAAAAATGACATTATTTATTCAGACCTTTCCTTAAACTTCAGGGAATAATGGACAGTTTTCACTTCTCCAGATACTCAGGGCTAGCTCTGTCTCACCATTCATATGATGGACAGTCCAGGCTGTATGCTGCTCTAAAATTTCTGCCACAGTGAACATGAACATCAACATACCCCACTTCACAGACACCTAATAATGGAACTCTAGAGCAGGATAGGCAAACTTTTTCTGTAAAGGGCCAGATAGTAAATATTGTAGGCTTTGCAAGCCATACTGTCACAACTCTTCAACTCTGCCATTGCAACATGAAAGGAGTCATAAGTAATACAGAAGTGGATTGGCATGGCTGTGTTCCAAGAAAATTTACTTGCAAAAACAGGAGGTGGAACATATGTGCCCTGGGAGCCGTAGTTTGCTGATTCCAGGCTGAAATATCCTGACAGCAACCCCCTATTTACAAGGGGCAGGCAAATGAGGATCACACTGGCTGGGAAATTCATGGGCCTGACCCTGAAACTCCTATTTCTTACAGAATCTATTACTCCCTTGCCGCACCTGAAACTATGAGACTCATTTTATGATGAGATCTTCAAGAGTGTCCTATGTCCATGATCCACCCCAGGGTTTACTTTGCTCTTCAGGAATAGAACCTCTCAAACTAAAGAGAACTAGATTCCTACTTCATCTCTCTGCAGTTATGGTAATGTCAACCAGCAGGTTCAGGAGTGCTGGGCTCCAGTTCTGGCCCCGACACTGAGCTCTGGCACTGGTTACTTTCCCCCTCTGCCTCCCTTGCCTCTTCCGTAAAATGAGGGAGGTAGATTCAACAGCCTCAGTCTCTTGCAGCTCCAACATCCTAAAGTCCTATGAGTTAGAAGTCTGTGGTCTTTGACTAGAAACTGCCGCTGCAGCTATGGCACCATCCACAGTTGGCTCCAAAGTTTCTAGTTTAACAAAAAGGCACAGGACGGGAATCAGAAGAGCTGGGTTCTAGTCCTGATTCTATCACTTCAACCCTCTCGGCTTCTGTTTCCTCATCTGTCGACCCAGGCCATCCCTTGGACTCTAAGATTCCTTGGTCATTACCTTATGGCCAGCCAGCCCTTGGAGACCACTTTAATCCAGGCAGACAGAAGACATCACCTAAACTGGGATCCACCCTTTATTTTCAACCTCCGTTTTTCACTTTTTCTCTGTGTGTGAGATTCACAGATTTCCTCCATGGGCCCTTTCTCCTTGATCTCTATCTCTGTCTCTGTCCGCTTACAAAGATCCATGACAACACTGTTACAACTAGCTTGTCAAAGTGCAGTGACATCTGCATGCCTGACATTCCAATCTGGAGATGGTCTTTTTATAACCAGTGTGGTGGGTGGAGGCAGCAATGGATGCAACTCAGACAGGATGAAATTAGAATTGCAAACTGGGAGGAATATGTTGTCTTTAATCTGAATAAAGCTCCTCTAGTCTGGGACTGTTTCCCCAACAATGCCATCAAGTCTCTCGTGGATTCCAAGGCGAGGAGGGTTCAAAGAGAGAAACGTAGTGACCTCACTCCCAGGCCTGCCAGCACCCTCTGATAATTAGCCTGTCCGTGTCAGACCTGCCCTGTGATGCCTCTCATGACAGATGGTAATTTGGAATCCAAATCAAGAATCAGCTGTGTCAGCTGCAAAATCTCCAAGGGCTGTGGGTGAGTTAAGGGTTGGGGCCCTGACACCTACAGACTCAGTAATTAAAACGTTCTTTGGACAAGAGGGGCAGCCTCTTTGCTGGCTCCTCAGCCTCTGCTGCTGGGCATCTCAAAGGAATGTAGGCCTCTTTTTTACAAGATTTCTTTCTTTTTTTTTTTTTTTTTTAAATCTTTATTGGAGTATAATTGCTTTACAATGGTGTGTTAGTTTCTGCTTTATAACAAAGTGAATCAGCTATACATATACTTATGTCCCCATATCTCTTCCCTCTTGTGTCTCCCTCCCTCCCACCCTCCCTATCCCACCCCTCTAGGTGGTCACAAAGCACCGAGCTGATCTCCCTGTGCTATGCGGCTGCTTCCCACTAGCTATCTACCTTACGTTTGGTAGTGTATATGTGTCCATGTCTCTCTCTCGCTTTGTCACAGCTTACCCTTCTCCCTCTCCATATCCTCAAGTCCATTCTCTAGTAGGTCTGTGTCTTTATTCCTGTCTTACTCCTAGGTTCTTCATGACATTTTTTTTTCTTAAATTCCATATGTATGTGTTAGCATACAGTATTTGTCTTTCTCTTTCTGACTTAACTTCATTTCTTTGGCAGACTTGCTCTTTCACTTTCACTGATAACGGCAAGTCGGGCAGCTGGACTGTCGTTCAATGCTAGGGCCTTTCATGTTGGAAAAAACTGATACTCAAGCTTCCACATCCTAGGTCATTATTTTGAATATATTTTAAAGGGAGTAGTAGGGAAAGGCTGTTTTAATAAAATATTTCCAACCCCAGGATTGCACAGCCCCAGCAGTACTGACTGCCCCATGGAGAGACACAACAGGAACCAAGATGGTACCTGATTGCTCTTTTTTTTTTTAAAATTCTATTATGGTTTATTACAGGATACTGAATATAGTTCCCTGTGATTGCTCTATTTTTCATACCAGAATCCCTTTTTTCTTTCCTCTATGTACTCAAAGCTACTTTCTTTAGGGTGGTATCACCAGCACCCCTACTAGTTCTGACCCTGAAAGCTCAGGCCTGCCCACGTATGGTCACCCCCAAATCCCCTTTAGCACGATGCACAGATCACGTAAAACTAACAGATGCTCACATCTGCCTCTCATCCTTCTGGCTGGATCAAACTGAGCCAGCTCCTTCTCGACATAGTATAGGACCTTCATGGAGTCTCTCTCTTTGTCAGCTTGGATCCGGTAACCTTTGCGAACTGTTGAGAAACAGACAAGAAGGTGAGGTGAAAAAAATCAGGAGAAGGCAGCTTCCATTTATTTTACCAAGTAGAAAACATGGGTCCCACTAATAACAGCTCGTTTTGAAATCACCCAGAAATCATAACCTGTAGTTCTATATATGGAACCATACTCCAGATCCCCTTTATCAGATGGTTCCATTGGAATGGAGGATCGGCAGGTCAACAACAAAATTCTATTACAGTATATTTTTAGTCATTTGTTAACCTCTGCTTCCTACCTCCTGACCTCTTATAGCTCTACTTAAAGCTCATCTTCTCAAAGTTTGGGGGAGTACACTCACACTACAAAAAGACCACTCTCTAGACTAGGGCCGCAGATCACTCTACAGTCTGAGGTTCATACCTTCACCTGGTGGAAGCACATGTAGCTTTAAAACAGATACCCAAACGTCAGGGACCTTGACACAGGTGGCCTAAAAGCCTCTAGTTGCTTGGGAGATTGTGCAAAAATTCCGTAACTAGGTAATGCATAAGAGCTAATATTAGATTATAGGCTTTATACATATTAGTACAAAATAAAATGCAAAATACATGGATTACTATTATGGTTCCATTATTATTTCTTTAGCATTTTCCTCTTAGGAAAGGGATTACCATATTTTTGACATGATTAATTCAACCTGCTGCTATGTGGTTACAGGCAGGTGTTATTTTCGGGGCTTAATAAAAAACAAAACTAAAGCATGAGAGATAATACCATCTCCTACATTCCCATCACTCATATTGTCAGAGGCAAAGGCTGTTGAAGCCCCATGTCACTTATCAGTCGAGTCCAATACCAGCCCCAAGGGTGATCAGACACGGGCAGGTCCAATCTTCACAGATAAGAGAAAGAGAAAACAAGAAAGAGTGAAAGGAATGGGATGGGGACAGAACAATAAGGGTAATAGACAACACTTAATTGGGCACTGAAATGTGCTAGGTACTGTGCGAAGTGCTCTACATGGACATTGATTCCTCACAGCTACGTAAGGAAGTTAACTGTTAGTAGCCACATTTCATGGTTGAGGACACTTTGGTTCAGAGAGGTTTTATAACTTGCTCAGGAATAAGTGGTAGTTCTGGGACCGGAACCATGTAGTCTGACTGAAGCCCAACCATACTGGGCATCTTGCCTCTCTGGAGTCTAGGAGCAGAGACAGTATGGAGAGATAGGAGAGGAAGACAAAAAGGAAGAGCCCAGAGTAGAAAATGCTCTTAGGTGTGCCATAGGCAGTGTCATCTGAGGCACAGTCCTACCTTACAGCCCATCAGGACTGTACAGTGGGATGGAAGCAAATGACCCACCTCCAATATTCTCTGTTCCCAGAGTAGGGCAAATACCATAAAGAAACCATACGACTGCATGCACCTCTGGAGAAAATCCTGCTTTCTGTACTCTGGTCATGTTACCCTGGCTGTGGACAGAGCCCCCCACACAAGCGTGTACGTGGAAGATTAAAATATCTTCCACAGACTCTAATCACAGCCCTGGCATTGAAGACTGGGAAGACGCCCACACATCCATTTGCAGGTGCACTGGTTTTCTATATGAGAACAGGATGGGCAGTCCACATTCAGCTCCAATTGTGGAATTACTTAAAAAAAATTAATGAATCTCAGCACACGCTTTTTAGTACACCTTCTCCCGGAGGTTAGATCCATGATCCGTATGCAGAAGCAATTATTAGCAGAAATGATTTTATTTATCAAGCTACACACTCTTCCATCTCTGCAGAGGTGTTTACATAGTACAGACAGTTCACTTAAAATGCAGTTATCCCACGGAACTGCTATGTCTGTTCTGAGGCAGTTACGTCTGATGGATGAAACACAGGGCTGGGAAATGGGGAACTGGGCAACTTGTAGGCATGCCGCTGGATTTACTGAGGGACCTCAAATAAGTGGTGACCTATCCAGGACTCAGTTTTCATGTCTGTAAGATACAGCTAATACTTTTCACCTTTTAAATAATCTCATAGCGAAAAGACAAATATATAAACCAAAAAGAAAAAGAAAAAAGAAAGGAGACAACAAAGACCAAATCAGTGGCGCACTTTGAGTTCTCTGTAATTATTAGGGGCAGCTCAGATGACACCTCATCCAAAAGGCTTTCTTTTTCTCTAGCTAGAAAAGTTCTCTCCCTTCTCTCTCTATCCCACTCCTAACTTACAAATCATTTACTTTGAACTTTCATCATGGCCCTTAATATATTCTCATTGGTTTCAAATGATTTGTATAAATGTCTAATCTTCCCAAAGATTCTTGAGGGAAAAGACTGCTTATCATTCTAGCTCAGTGTTAAAGCCCAGGATGGTGCTCTATACATAGTATGCACTTAAATGTTTGCTTGAGCTGAATCGGTGCCAGCCTGGGGCTGGGGGTAGGGTTAATGCTTTCTTTAGAAACAGTATTTTCGGTAGTTTCCCTGTCTAGATTGTAAACTTCCTGAGGTCAAGGACCAATTCTCTCTGTTTATCTCTGCATCCTGAGCACCTAGCGTAGAACCTGACACATTGCAGACACTCAAAACACATGTGTTTGTATGAATGAATGAATGAATGAATGAACATCAGGAATAAAAACTATATTACAAAGAATTACAAAGTAAGGCAGAAAAGGCCATGTGATGGGTTTGTTGGAGAATTTTCACCAGGAAGGGGAAGGCTTGAATGGTAGCTTGAGGGAGCAGCAAGGTTTAGGTAAGTTTTGTTGTTTTATTGATGATTATTTTTTAGTAAAGAAAATGAGCATGTTTATAGGCATTAGGGAAGGGTCTACTCTACCTGCAGCTGTGGCTTTATCTAGGTGTTCTTAATACGTGAAGCACCGTATGGCAAACATTCAGTAATACTGAGATAAAGGGGGGAAGAGTATTGCTATAGGAAACAATGTACCAACTGTCCCCTGGCAATGAGAGATGGCTGCCATCCTGAGCAACAGCTGGAAACTGCTCCCTTAACTGCAACTTGGACCAGCGCTTAGATTGCTTTCTGTGTCATTATAACAAATTGCACTCCTCATTATGAGACAGATTTGATCATGTATGCATACGTTATCATGCCCCTGCAAAGTTACAGTAACTATTCACAGCCTCAAATGACAATGGCAGCCTCGCCTTTCAGTACTGGCATTGTAAAGAGACGCCACTGTACTAGATACTTTCAGCTTTGATTTCTAAGTCACACCAGCTCATGACTTCAGAAATCTTAATCCCTCTACTTTGTCAAAAAGGACAGAGGCAGAGTACTGATGTTTAGACTTTAGAGGCATCATCCGTTTGGTTTCAGTAGCTAAAAAAGCTAGGCACTTCTCCCTTTAAGAGGCGTTGGTTTTCCTTTTTTAATTGAAAGCTGTATATTCGATGGGTGGCACACTATAACTAATTCTCTCATCGTGGTAGAACCTGGCTCTGTGTCACGTATATGCTCAGGAGCACAGAAAGCCTTTCTTGATCCCTCCAAGCAGAAGAGACTTTTCCTTCTCTGAGCTGGCATCAGAGAACAGGCTTATCATATGCTCCTTTCCACTTTTCACTCATTTGATTTCCGTTCACAAGCCCCCAGAAACCACTCTGCTGGACCATAAACTCCTTGAGAGAAAATTTGTACGCATTCATTAAATTTTTCTTGATTTGAAAACAAATAGAATGGTGTCGAGCCGATTTTTATCTGTAATTTGTCTGAAGATCAGAGAACTCTCTGATGTGCGGTGATATTTTAATAAGAAATGTACTACATTATTGGCCAAAGACCAGCATTTTTTGGAAAATGACTTTTTTCCTGGTGATATTTCAGTTTAGGGTCGATGGATGATTAATTTCTCTTTTGAAGTTCAGTCTGGTCCAAGTCCTTTGGTTGGTGTGGATTTTCATACTTCAGCTCCTCTAAGTTATTAGCCTTGCCAACTTTGATTTTTACTGGAGAGGGACTATTGGGATATTCATTTTGATGCCAAACTATAATTTCAAAAATTCTTATTGTTAAAAGATTTGAGTTGATACTTCTGACCCAATTAAGGCTCAACTATTTTTCAGCTAATTTCCCCTTTAAAGACAAATCCAATTTGTAAAACTTGCAAAAGAAGTCTGTAAGGCAGATATCCATGGATATAGCCTTGTTCTTCCTGTCCTATCTTAATAAGCTAAGGAAGGCTGTTTATGGATAATGGAACAGCTGCCAGATTCCACCCCCAGGATGACAGCAGCTCAGTTGTGGGAGAAGTGATGCTTAAAATTTGCATATTCTCTGTATACATACAGTAGGCATATATATAGACACACATCCTTATTAGTTTGAAAAATGACATTTCAGAACCCTACTTGCCTATTCAATTCTTTTGCAAGAAGGATGAGTGGAGACCAGGTAGATGTGAAAATAAAATGGATTCAAGCAAGGGAAAAGATAATTGCATTAATCAAGGTGGGAGATGATGGTGGCAATGACTAGGATAGTTGAGTAGAGATGGACCAATTCAAGGTTATTTTGAGGTCCAATCTGAAGGACTTGGTGACCAGTTGGATGAGAGAAGTGAGGGAGAGGAAGAGATAAGGATCAAGCCCCTGCTTCTGGTTTGGGCTACTAAGTAGATAACGGTGCCATCCACCGAAAATAAGAAATGTAGGAGTTGGTTTGAGGTTGAGAAACAGCAGATTAATTCCATTTCCTAGATAGATGTTGAGCTGGAAAGGCCTGTAGTACATTAAGGTGGGTATGTTCAGAAGGCAGGTGGATATATGGGACTGAGGAACAGGAGAGAGGATGGAGATAAAGACTGGCAGTCATCAGCATATAGATGATGACTGACGCCATGGACTAGATATGATTTCCCAGAGAGAGGACCTTGCACAAACAGGAGCACCAGCATCTGGGGGATGTGCAGAGAAAGAACAGCCAGGATATAGTGAAAACGGTAGGAAAAACTCCAAAGTACAGTGTTGAGGAGGGCAAAGAAATATGAGTGCGTTGTCAGGGGTGGCAAGTGCTTTTGAGAAGTCAGGGGGGCAAGCTTTGAGAAGCATCCATTCGAGTTAGCAATAAGGCGATCTTGGCAAGCGCTGGTCTTTGGAGTGGTGAAAGCAATAGCAAGACAGAAGTTCGCTGAGGAGAGGAAATGGAGACATTAAAGATTCAAAACTCTATCAAGGAGCTTGGCTGTGAAGAGGATAACGTGGATAGGGAAGTAGCATCAGAGGACTATAGGGTTTTTGCAAATTGTTGTATTTCAATGGGAGAGATCCGAGTGTGTTCTGAACGCTGATAGGAAGGAAAGGCTAAAGACGTGAGGTGGGAATGGGGTGGGGTATGGAGATTCAGCAAAGAGAGAACCTTGACAAAGCTGAAGGGGATGGCTCCAGAGCAGGACAGGAGGAGACAGTCATCTTTTTTTGTAACACAGGTAACAAACACACATAGCAGGTAGCCGCTATGAAGAATGGGAGAAGGAATCAGGGTGCCTCTTAACCTCTTGCCCATTCAGTAACTAACTGGCTATACTATACGTAGCTCATCAAAGATGCCTTTTCAACTACACAGTGTTCAAAAGAGTATTGTGTACAAATGTAATCTGAAAAATTACTGTTGCTAGATGATTACCCTAAAATTGAAGTAGCATAAAAATAAAAAATAGGCTAAATTTACATCTTTATAAATCAGCATTTCTTAACACTTCTGACATTCTTTAAAGGACAATCTACATGGAAGAGTGGCTTAAGCCACTTTTCTTAAAGGAGAAATAGCCAAACGCCATCAGTAATTCTGGCCACGGTACCATGAGTACAGAAATGTGCCCAGTGAGTGTCATGAAGAACTCACTCCTGACTCAACGAGCCAGAAAATGATAACATGAGCCGGACTAGCTTGGCCGGCACTGGTTGTGCATTCTCCCCTTTTCCCCTGCTGACAGAATCCTGACTTTGTTCATTTCCAAGGTGAATAGGTGTTGCGGCCTAAGAGATGAGTCTTGGTTGGTCCAAGCCAATCTGGTTTAGGAATGGAGACAGGACACAATTCTGGCCAATAAAATGACATGGAGAAGTCTGCTGGAAGGGGAAGAGGCTTCTGGAAAAGTTTTCCTCACTCTTGAGAAAAGGAGCACAAGGAAGGAGCATAACTTTTCCATCTCTGAATGCATTTAGCATCTGGGACGGTGGCAGTCATTATGGAGTCTGGAGGGGAGCCAGCCCGGGAGGACAGAGGATGCACTCGGGATGCCAGAACAGAAGACGGGAAGAACTAGGTCCTACAGTGATGCCACCTGAACTGTTCCATTAACCAACCCCAGAACCACCTTACCTTGGAATTTCCTGCTATGTGAAATAATTTTTTTTTCTATTTTTTAAGCCACTTCTAATTGCAGTTCGTTAGTATGGCAGGATGGAGCCCAAATGACTGAACTGCATGTGCAAAAGCAGGAACTGGAAACGGGCTGAAGACAGGAGAGAAGAAGTATTTGCCATTCTATGAATAAGAGTCATTTTATTATGAGAATCCATTCAATAAAAAGTAAGAGGGAAAGGGTTCTGATGGGAGGGAAGGAGACAGAAGATTGGGAGGGGGGGGAAGGCAAGCTGCAAACAGAGCATGAGACAAGTCCTATTAATGCCTCCTTTGCCCACTCTATCTTTTGGGGAAATGGACTGTATTGTATTTATCTCTCTAATACCCTGTGTGTCCTTGATCATTAACTTTTACTTCTCAGTCTGTGACTCATTCCCAGTCTCAGACATCAGAATCCTGCTAATAGTTCCTGAGAGAGAAAAAACACAAATACCAATTACTCACTGAGGATATCCACTCCTTCCAGGGTGGAGCATTGACAGTTCATTAAATGGACTAGACATTCTTCCCTGCTCCCCACTGAAGGCTGTCCAGATACCTCCAGGGGAGAAATGTCTGCTTCATCAACCCTAGTGGCTCATTCACACTTACGGATTTAAAAATCACCTCCTAAACATACTACATACAGAGTCCTAACCTTTACTACTCTGTAGTCCTGTTCAGATGCCTCCAGGAAGGCTACATTTTAATGTCTCTATACTCCTCTACCCCTGCCTATAACCTCGAATTCATCATGCCCTCAATGGGGCTAATCTTCTTCCAAATAAACTCTCCTTACCAGTTATCTCATTTCTGTCTAGGATATGCACCACTAGACAACTGGGCTCATTTTGAAGCCTCCGAACATCTAACTGCTTGCTCTTTCAAAGCATCTCTCAGATTCGTCCACTCATTTCAACACCCATTGTCTCCATCATAATCCAGACACTCACATGTCCCACTTCAATCACACCTCAGCTCAAGGTCTCTGATTCTACTCTCTCCTACTTACCACTTGCTTTGTCAACATGTCACCTCTCCACTCAGGAACCTGCCTGCAGTGGATCTCATTTGCTATGGCACCAAGCCCCAGCTCTTCTGGGAGGGGTTTCAAGGCCCTCCCTAATCTGGCTCCACCATATTCTTCCATTGTCTTGCAGTCAGACAGACAAGCTAGACACTGTCAAATACACACACTGTGTTCTTTTAGCTCTGGGCTTCCACCATGCTGGCCTGTGTGTCTCTGCTTTCCTAATCCTTCTCATTCCTCTAGGCCCATCTCTAATCTCCCCTCTTCCCTGAAGACTTTGTAACCATCCCAGCTCTTTCTCCTTTGAACTGCCAGTACCATACGCTTTAGCATCTAACTGTCCCACTAAAGGTCCATTTTCTTTCCCTGGCTGGGCCACACTGCTTGTTAGACAAACCTTGTCCTACACGTCTGAGTGTTCCTCACAGTACCTGGTAGAGTCCTGAGCACTAGGTAGGGAAGAGATAACTATTTATTAATTGAATGATCAACATGCAAGGGGTACACCTTGCCTCTTTTTCTTATGATTTTAGTTATTGAGGAGCCTGGGAAGAAAGCAAGGGGCAGCTATGTCCTGCAGCCCTTGGAAAGCCTGGCATGCATTCCAGGAGATATCTGACACAGCTGGCAGGCTCCCGTTTCCAGAATGGAGATAATCATTGTCCAAAGAAGTGTCACTGAACAGATGGTTCTCAGCAGCAAGGAACCAGAGTGGAAGCCAGACAGGAGCATGGGGCAGGGCAGTCGGGAACTAGATTTACCACTGTGGCTTCCTCCAGTGGAGTCACTTGGTGCCAGGGGAGGTGGATGCGGCTTGTCCATCAGCACGCCAGATGCGGGGGCTCCTCCCAAGGGGACAGAGGGGATGGAGTAAGGGCCGGGGACACCGGAGACAGAGGGAGGGTACCCGGCCTTTGCTGCTTTCCCTGCTTCATACACTGTGGAGGGAGATGAAGAGCAAGAGAGATTACATCATCCCACCCTCCACAACCCTCACACCAAAAATTCCTGAGGGTGTGCTTAAGGGAGCTCCTGGATATATGCGCGGGCGTGTGTGCGTGCGTGCGTGTGTGTGTGTGTGTGTGTGTGTGTGTGTTCTACTAGTCCTGAATTGATTCATCGGAACCCCTCTCCCCCACTCTCTTGGACTCCTCCAGCGATGACATAAGGAATTACAGTGTTTAGTAGTACCTGGCAACTGAGTAATTAAGCAGTGCTAGGAGCTGTCACAGCAGCCTCCCCTGTGACAGCAGCAGCCCACTCTTAACCATGTTGCTGTAGGCTGCCTCAGCCCCTCTGGAGGAGGCCTAGCACTGGGCTGCCCAGAGCTGCTTCCAGGAGGCTCCCAACCTCTTCTAGAGAGGCAAAGCCAGCTATGCGCTGACACACGGCCCCGCTCTGTGAGCTCAAAAGCAGAGCAAACAATCTGACTCCTCGCGTGGAAACTGCTGTGTTCCTAAGGATATGAAAGATATACATTGTGTCTCTCTCCTTCAAGATGTTTATGGCAGGGTGCCAAACTTACTGCCTATATGGGCTTGGCCAGGGAGGTAAAACTGTGAGTCCCCAAAGGAGGACTAGTTCCTTTGTGGACCATTTTGTCCTAGGAGTAAATACAACTCATCTGTGTCTGGATGGGACCCAAAGGCTGTGGTTTGCACACGCTGTTGGTAAAAAGGAGGAGTTCTCTGCACGCACGAGGCATGATCAGAGAAGGTTTTCTCTAGTTTGGATGCCCGAGGAGAGGGCAAAAGCCTTACCCCGCAACCTCACCATCCTGAACCTGCCCTTCCTTTCAGCAATAGTGTCAGTGAGGATTCCAAATGCAGGGGTGATAGGTGTAAATCAGAAGCATGGAGAGGTGCCTGTAGGTGAGAAGGCAAACAAGAATGGTCATCTCGGGAAGCTGGGGCCTCCCAGCAGAGGAGAGTTTGGAACGATCGCTTTTGGGGTGGAAGGAGAGGCGGTGGAGAAGGTGCTCAGGGCACATAGCTGTCTGATGGCAAGGTGACATTTCTTTTGATCACTCTACATCTCCACACTCATCGCTCTACTCACAGGCCTGCGGGCAGCAGCAGGAATCTGGGCAACATGGGCAGCGGATGTAGCAACAGCAGCTGTGAGGACAGCACTGGCACCAGCAGATCCCCACCAGGACGAAGAAGAGGAAGACTCCCAGGGTCACCAGGCCAACAAACACCCACTCTGGAAGGACGCACAGAGAAACCCACACTCGAGGCGGCCCCCCGCCAGGACAGGCCCCCTCTCACCAGTGCCTCCCTGTGAGATGAGTGGGAGGGACCTGGGGGAAGACAGTGTCTCGTAGCAGGGCACAGAGCCCCCAGACTAAGGAGGAACTCTGAGACTGAGAAACGCAGACCCTCCCAGGGCTGGGGCGTGGACAGCAAGGAAGGTTACCGGGGTCATACTGAGCACACATAATGACCAGTACAAAGTGATGGGGGAGGCTCAGGGCCCCTTCCTGGAAAAAGGGCTTACCTTACCAACTGTAGTGTCAGAACACCTATGGGACAAGAGCAGAGATTCCTGGCTAGGTAGAGGGGAACTTTGCTTCCTGAGCTATTAAATGGTGGGTTCTGTGAATTCGTATGTTTTGTAGCCAAGTTAATCTTGTCCCTAAAAGTGTTAAGTCCTGAGAAAAAGTTCTCTATGTCTAGATGGTCTAAATCAGAACATATTTAGGTGGTCCATGTCCCTTGTGTATTCATGTTTTCCCTACTGAATGCCTCTTAACATCTTTCTTGCACTCAGCATCAGTGCTGAGATCAAAACCCTTTGCTAAAGAAAACTAGAGACATAGGCTCCGAAGAGAAGATCCTGTCCCTGTTCCCCAAGAACGGTTTGATCACACTCCAGCTGACCGCGCTACACAGCCAGCATGACCACGGACTAAAGTGGCTCAGGACTGGGATGACTGGGAAGGCTCTCACGTGTATATCTGACCATGTTTGTTACCGTCTGCTATTTTCACTGCTCTGCCAGTGAAATTCATTCATTAATTCATTTGCCCATCCAAGAGATTAAGAGAAAGGAAACCAATCCATCTGGCTTAGATAAAAATGACTGTGGCCCTGGAGTGACCTGATGTCATGCTTTTGGGACTTGGCTATAGGATCCAATGTCCCACTGTGGGGGGGCCTGGGAAGGACTGGAATGAGCCATGATTTCCTTTCAAAGCAAAAGATTAAAGCAATTCATTTTGATTGAAAACCATCTACCAAAAATCCCTTTGCAATCAACTTCAAGTACACATTGTTTTGTTTGAATTTTAGTTATTAAATATTCCTGCAGTGAAATGGAACATTCCGTTGGAGCTTGCGAATGTGCTATTTTGGTTATATAAAGGGTTTTGTGATAATGATAAAGTTATTTGACCTTTGTCTAGAACATAATTTCCTCAGGGAGGAAACAAACAGCTTACGTTTCCTGAATGGTCCTCCTCACTCACCCATCAGAAATACATTCAAAATAACCAGGTCACCCTCTATTCAGGAAGTGAGAAGGCCTTGTACCCAGCTAGAATGTTCTGGAGAACATTCTTGCTGAGGACAGTAGATAGATGAGGGCTTTGGCCTGTGCCTTAGCACTAACATAATAACACAATGCGGCCTGAGATAGATATGGGCCCTGAGGATTAGATGAGATGTGTGGTATGGTGGCTACAACTTGGGTCAGGCAGTCAAGGATAAAAGACTGGCAGGTTACCTTGGAGAAACAAAGAATGTTATCCATGAAAGGATTCTTGGAGTCAAAAGGGAGAGAAATTCGGGAGACCAGGACCAGATATGAAAAATACAGTAACTTTTCCTTGGGACTGTGGGATATAACATCTAGTATGAAGCAATGCAGTGTTAACAGTGTTTTTTTTGTGATGAGCAAATGCGTACAAATTGATGGAACTCTGGATAAGGCAGATCACAAAGAAATATCTATTTGCGTCCTTGGGATCGACATCGGTGAAAAGAACGTCTGTATTTGGGTTGGCCAGCTCATGGGAAAGGATCAGGAGAATTCACGGAAGAATAATTAGTGAAGCTCAACTGTGAAGACTCTGCATGCTCCTTAAAACCTGAATCAAGTCAAAACCAATCGCCAGGATTATCTTGTTTCTCTCTTTTGCTCTCAGTTATTAAGCAGCTCTTAACCCTTTGGCAGAAGCTCTCCAAAGCAAGGCTGAATCATATCCTTTCCTCTTCCCTGCCTTTGGTTATGTCCTCTCCCATAGTTCATTCTTGTTTCTCTCTAATCCTCCTTCCACGATGGGCTATAGTGCAGCATCAAACTGATGTTGGCTTGTCTAGCTGGTATGTCCAACAGAAGCTACATAAAAAGACAGAGGTGTACATTCGGGGCAGGTGTCCTTGAGATAGGGTCCATGGACCCCAGGGACTTAGGGGGCCAAGAAGCCCCTGAAATTGTATACAAAGCAATGTAGATCTCTAAATGTGTACTTTTCAAGGGAGGAGGGGTGCATAGCTTTCATGAGGTTTGAAAAAATGTTTTGATAAAGTTATAGAAGGCAATTGAGAGTGACATGGTTGCACACTAATGAATGGGTAAACATAAAGCTTAGGGAGTAAGGAGCAGATTAATAACCACTCCGTCAAGGATACTTCCAGCTATCTGGGTGCAGCTGAGATACTGAGATTGCGAAAAGGCCTGCATACCTGACACTGAAGGACTGGGTCCCCATCTCAGCCTATTTTTAATTACCATTATTCTTTTAGGGCCTAGTAACAGAAGAAATACAATTTGAAGGCTCTTCCAATGGGCTTAATTTCATCCTGGAGAATACCACAGACATATATAGACAAATGTACAAATAAATTAAAGGAGCAATTAGTAACTAATGCAGAAGCAAGACAGATGGAGGGATAGCAAATTAAGCAAATACAGAGTTAAATGACTGAATACCTGGCATAATCTCCACAGCAAAACTGGGCAAGAGATCAGCAAGCAGCCCTGTCCTGCCTAAAAGAAGTGGAAGGAAAAGAAGAAGTAAAGAGGTTACTCCAAAGGAAAAACACAGCCTGAAGCCTAGCTCCAGTTAGCACCATCCCTACATGGGGCCGTTGATCCATGCTGTCTGTGTCCTGAGATGCACGTCACCAAGGCTGGGCTCAGTCAAGAGAATGACCTTCTCCATCAATCTTTGGCAGCCATCTAAGAACTCTGCACCTAAACCAGGCAGAAGCAGAAGCAGAAATTTCTCTCCAACTATTATAGAAGGAGGAAATCTCTGCTTCAAATATGAAAAAACCTGCTTGAGCAGACTGACATATACCATCTCCATTCATTTATACATCCTACTCCACGTATATTATTGGAAAGTCAAACCCGTCTGTATCCAAACGTTCAACCTACATTTTCGTACATCCATACACAGTCCCATGTCCATATAAAAACAAAAGTACATATTTGGTTTTAACTCAGAATTATCTCCCTACATGATTCTATTTATAGCCTAAAGATATTTCAATGATTAAAGTTTTCAAAGGCAAGGAAATGATAAAGCTAGATCAGTTATACACTCTTCGACACTCCTTCTGGCTTCAGAAATACTCTGTACATATGTGTATGGTATGGCTTTTCCATATGGCACCCACAGCTGGCATGGTATGGACCCAAGTGCCTTCTGCGTGATATGGCACAGAAGCTTAAGGGCTGGTGTCAGAACAGGTGCCCCTCGGGGCTCTGAGAAGCAAAGAGCTGTGCAGGAAACAACACACTGGAAGAGGTTGGGGAGGAGGTTAGTCCTTTTAAAAACTAGCCTGGTTTATATAGAAAGAAGTGCTGAATGCTTCCACCACGTTCTCATATCCACATAAATATAAAGGCTGTAATAGGACTTCTGCCCTATACCAGGTTCTCTCTATCACAGTGCAGCCTTGCTAAGAAACAAGTTGCACTAGGAAACAACTAGCAAACTCGCTTCCTTTGAGGCTTGTGATGGCAAAAGGTCACTATGGTTCCTAAGCCTGCAACTGAATCTTACTTCACTTATGGGCATGACATATGCTTCTAGCACAGCTCTGTCCAGTAGAAATATAATGTGAGCGACCAGTAATTTTAGCTTTTCTAGTAATCACATTAGTTTTTTTTTAAAAAAGATGAAATTACCTTCATAATATTTTTACTTGTACCAATGTAGCCAAAATATTAATACTTCAAAGGCTCTGTAGCCACACATCACCATTAGAAAACACACGTCTAGGGGTCTGGTCTCTTTGGTTCATTAGAAAACAACTTTTCCTGTTGAAGTTTGTTGAGGTGCATTAGAGAAAAAGTTACCCATGTGTGTGGTTTATATTTTGAGTCTAAAGGTCATAGTTGGTCACTGATCCTCTCCTCTATCAAATCACCCCATAGAAAAGCAGCTCTGACAAAAGTCAAAGAAAAAAAAGTTCTTCTAAGGCGCTAGGAGAGGATGCTGCAGCAGGGGCGAGGTTTTAGGGAGTCAGGTAAAAGGGCTCTTTGCTCACTTTATTTTTCTTGGCTCTCCTCAACTATACAAGGCCAGTGTGGTAAAATGTGTCCCAGTCATGTCTCCTGCATGGGTCATGGTCCCACATTTGAAAAGTTAATCAGTACCAGAGTACATTCCAAGTAAAAGAAAGCATGGAGTGGGCCACTAGGTTAACTCTGTTTTATTTTTTATTTAGTTATTTTTTTGGCCACGCCATGCAGCATGTGGGATCTTAGTTTCCCAACCAGGGATCAAACCCATGCCCCCTGCAGTAGAAGCTCGTAGTCTTAACCACTGGACCGCCAGGGAAGTCCTGAAGTTAGCTCTGTTTTAGGTTTTGGCAAGAAGGGTTTCCTTCTTTCTGTCTTCCATCTTGTGCAGCTGACACGGTAAGAGTGGTCTGGTGCTTGCAAGGTCTCTTGGAAAGTCAAGTGGGAGCCAAGTAGGTCATTGGAAAAGGGCATCTTGAAGGAGAGATGGGCTAGCCTTTGGCCTAAGCCAACATGAAAGGCTAGGAGGTTCCCCAAGGCTCACACGTGGTCTAGTCCATTTCCCTAGGATAGGCGACCAGACAGGGATTTGGGGCCAAAGTCCAAGCAAGTGATTAAGAGCATGCATTGGTCTCACATGGAATGTTCTCTGTACAAATATCTCTTGGAAGTTCAACAAGGCAATAGACAGGTGGTCAAGGATTTGGGATCTTGGACATCTCTTAAAGGCATAATTAGTATTAATTACAGCCAACAGCCAATGATCAAGAAGTCAATATTTTTTAAAAAAGTCAATATACTGTGCTTTTAGCAAAGCAGTTATCAGATGCTTACTTAATGGTGTTTTTTTTAATATGGACAGATTAGTACTTCTAAATATATCTTACTGTATATAGTAAAATGAGAAGCTTTTATTGTGTTTACTCTCTAGTTGTCAAGCCTACCACTGTTTTAAACATCCCTATATGTGCTGTAGCCCAAATCATTAATTACATTCATAACAGGAATGTTACTGATGATATAAGCTATCGATTTGCATACAATTTCTCACAGGAAATTAGCTATGTGATAATAATTAATTATTAAAAAAATCCATACATTCAAGGAGGATATGGTACTCACACATATTATATAGAGCATATTCTATTGGAGTAAGCAGTAGACTGGCTGGGAGTCAGGGTACTGAAGGCAGCTTTGACATTAGTTTACTTGGTGACCACTATGGACAGATTACTTCCTCTTTCTAGGACCCAATTTTCTCATGAGTCAAATGAAGCGGTTGAATGAAGAGATCCATAAATAGGGAGACCATACATCTTGGTTTGTCTGGGACAGTCCTGGTTTATGCCTGTTGTCCTGGTGTAATTATTAATAGCACCCCTTTTAATTCCAAAGGGCTCTAATTTGGACAATTATTTAGATGGTCACCCATCCATAACATTTTCAGTTCTCAAATCTGATACTCAGTGATCAGAGTTGCAAACTCAATTCCATATATTTATACGGACCAGTAGATAATACAAACAAGGGCAGCTGGTCAAATGTAATACAACTGGGAGCAGCTGGGCGTGTGGCAAATGGCATACTGTGTCTGTAGGGGCTGCTTCTACGCACCTCTAGCCAATTGTTGCCTCACAGAAAAGTGTCTTCAGGGTTGCAAATCTTCCTATTTTTCAAGATTAGCCAGACCCCAGATTTTTATGTGAAATATCCTGATTTTCAGATGTTGGCAACTGATTCATAGATTTTAAAAAATCACTGGACAAGCCATACAAAATATGTTTTGGGACTGTATAGAACCCAGAGGTCATGTGCTTGCAACCACTGCGGGGTATATATACACAGATATAATTATGATGGATAAAACACAAAAGCTGGATTTCCCCACCTGCTGTTTAGAACAACACCATGATGGTGTTCTGACACTACTTCTGCACACAGAATGTTAGTGAATATAAGCTCTAGGCACCTGTGTTCAAATTAAAATCTGAAAGCAACAGTATGACACACCAAATTGTTAGCCCTTATTTCTGGGGCACTGGAATGGGCATCATGGAAGAACAATGAAGGGGCTTTCATTTTTTTAGATTTTTTTTACACGTGTAATTGAAAGTTAAAATAAGAAACATGGACAGGAGATTCACAAAGCTCGTCACTCCAACAGAAAGACATACATCAAGCTTCTCATTCTCCCTGAAGCAACGGCCAATAGCTGACACTTCAGAAGATGGGGAAGCCTTCCCATAATGCACCCGTGTAGTGTTAGCCCCAGGGTGGTGTGGGTGACAGACTTTGGCAGTAAAGTGGGTAAAATTAAATGTCTTCAGAATTCAGAACATAGTAGGAGTTTGGGGATAGCAGATTATACCACTATGTTATGTCAACAGTAGAGAGGGAGAGAGAGAGCAAAGTTCTCTGGCTTTTATACCATGACCTATATTTTCCTGGAGCTAAAGGCATTTTAAAAAGTGAATTTATGCTGGAATCCTATATTTCTAAAAGTCATTTTGCTTCCAGCTTCTTGCTTAACAATTCCTAAAAAATGCTGTTGCCACTTAGAAATGCTCTAACTTTTCTTCCTATTCTACTCTATTCTGTCACATCCAATGAAGGTCTGATGTTAGACAGTCCAAACAATTGCAGTAAATACATTCCAGATTTCAGCAGCACTTTACCAACACTTGTGAATCACTGTCATTCTTCCAGGATTCAGTTAGAGTGGCAATTACAAGTCACTTTAATGTCTAAGAAAAGGATGGAAAACAGACCCAGCAAATAGAAAGCCAAATTTACTCTTTTCAAACCCCAGCTCAAACTATGAGTAGAAAGTACAGTTTTCACGTAAGCACTTCAAAGAGTTTTCCCCAAACCTTGCAGAATCCATTACTTTTAAGAAATTTCCACATGAATAGACCAAATGAGTCAGGCATACTACTAGTTTGTACACGCACACATGCAAGTGTCAGTATCATTCCATACGGTCACAAACATCATAGCCCAAAACATTCATGTATTTTGGGTTGAATGACGAGGGCAGAAACAATCACTTTGATAAAACAACTTACAGATTTTACCTATATAATTCCCTGTTTCAGCTGTTTTCTGCCACTGACACCTTGAAGTTATCCCCAACTGAACTCTCAGTACATATTCCTGAGAACAAGTTCACTTCTGGAATGTCTCCAATTCATTCATTCAACAAAGAAATGTATATTGTGCCTGGTGGACACGCAGAGAAGAACAAGACTTGATCCCTGTGCTTGAAAGCCTCAGGCTCGCCCACGCAGCTTGTCCAGCAGTGTGAGGCTAAGAATTCGGCTTTACTTCTCTGCTTCTGGGTCACATGACTTACCAAGGTCAAAGGACTTTCTTCCTGCCAAATCCCCTGTTTTCATTAGCTTTTTTTTTTTTTTTTTTTTTTTGCATTTTTGACATCAGGTTCCCCCAGTCATGAAGTCTTCCCCCAGAGACACAGTCCTTGCCTGGTTTCCCACTCCTCTCCTACCCATGGCATT